CCATACCTCTTGGTACCCCCTGAGCTACACAATCTAATTAGCACTGCTTTTAGGCTAACTCTTATCAAGGCAGGATCTGAGTGCATCCGCTCAATGAGACTGGCCCTGTACTCCAAAAGCGTGACATTCAATGGTTAAACAATTATCATAGGAGAGTGTCGGTGGGCACCAAGAGAACCTCCAAACTGGAAGAATATGTGACTACCTCAGTCCGCAAGGACGGTATTTCTTAGCTCAGATAGTCAGCTGTGGCTTGAATAGAAGGACCTGTCCCCATCAAGTCACGCAGGAACGTTAATCTGAATTAATTAAATGCCTGAATTTATGTTAAGCCACATTAAACTTCTGCGTGACCAATTTTACTCAGAATTAATGTAGCCTTTGATTCTGAGTTCAATTACACAGAAGAGTTTAATAGAAGGTAACTAATGTGTTTCAAAACTAACTTTGGATTCATCTTCCTGAAGGTTATCAGGCAGATGAACTCTTAAAGAGAGAAATCTGGGACAGAGAGGTTGTAGGGGAAGCTTGTCAATGGGCGACCAAAAAGGAGCAAAAGGATACAACTTTTGAAAATACCCAGAAGGGGTGTTTGTTCCAGATTTCTTATCAAGAGTGTCCCTTAAACGGTGTCTACCAGGAATGGTGCTACCCCTTGGGCTGCAGCGGTGGCTGTGCCCCTTTGATCATCATCTGGTTTACGGGACACCAAGAATGCCCACACTTTAATCCATTTTAGGAAGATTTTTCACTGCTGTTTTTCACTTGTTTTTGCAATGAGCATGTCCTGGTGAAGCCTCCCGGACTTCACGGGAGGCTGCCTCCCCACCTCTCTCCCTGCACCATATTATGGCAGCAGCTCCCAGCTGTAGACGCGGGCATATGAGGAGGTGGCAATCATCTGGGCATGAATCACTGCCTAAACACCCGGTCTCCAGGTCTCCTAAGGAAAAGGGAACGGAAAGCACTGGCAGAATTTCAGCTGACCTGCTTAGAAACAGTTTGATCATGTTGTTTCACAGGAAGAAACGGCTCCACTCTGCAATTAGGCATGGCTATGATTTGTAATAAGGAATTTAATGGTGTCTCTCCCAGAGGAGAGGAGGAGGTGAGAGTAGCAGATAACTCAATAGTTTGTAAGAGATTTCAAAAATCCCTGTTCATTGGAAACTAGCTAAGGCAGAATATGATTTGCTAGCTAAACAGTATTTGTTTCACACCTATTTGTGCACATCACCGCTATTAAGTAATCAGTACACCTGGGTGCAGAGCTGAACACAGTTTACTGTTCCTGACTTTGTTTTGACTCAGCACTGGATCGATATGAGTGTGCAGCTATTATACTGGCAGCATATCACCAGCTAGAAACTTCCTTGTGATTAGCAGTGGTGCAGCCACGAAGAAATTGGGCACGATTTTCTTTGTCTGCCTCTTATAAGGTTGTTATTTTCTATTTAACTAGACGCAAACTGGTGCTTCTCTGCGGTCCAGCTTTTCACACCGCCTACTGCCTTCAGGAACCCGTCTAACAGCCGATTCATCTTTCAGCATGTTCACACCTGCACAATTACCACGTGTGGAAGAAATTTCCACTCTTCTGCACCAAACAATGGAAGAGGCTGAATTTACCTTTCTGCTTAAAAAGCAGGATCTGAAACTCCTCACATCTTTTACTTTCCACCTCAGTCAGAAAGAGTTTGTGTAACCCACGGGTGAGCACGTTGTACGGTTCCCCACAGACGGTAAGTGAATCTGTGACAGTCCTACCTAGGAGATCCAGTTTTCTTCCTCAAACTGATTCTAAAACATGGCACATGCTTTCCATTGCAAAAGAAATAAATCACTGAGCAGCATACAAATGATGCAGCTCAGTTTCTCACCTGACGTTGTGATGAAACGCCACATTTCGCACTATGTCCAGCTACATGCAAGCAGCATGCATTTAATGACAAAAAATAGCACTAGGGCATAATCTGGGTACTGACTGAAGACCAAGAGAATACCCCCATTGGTGTACTACTGAACACAGATGCCCAAGAGGATCTTTACCTTTCTCTGAAGTATCCTTAAAGGCCAGAGTTAAGCAAGGTGAGTTCAAACTACTCAGTAATTTCACTGGGATGAATTACAGTCTAAAATTAGGCACATGCTTAAATACTTTGCTGAGATGGGGCTGAAGAAATTTGTTGGGCTGAGGCTCCCAGATTAACTGCAGACTTACTCTCTCCTGGTACTGCGTTCAGCCATAAGCTCTTTTCCCCCTCTGTCCCCACCCCATCCACGTCTTCGGGGAATGTTGCCATGGATTTCCACTGGAAACAAAAGAGTCCATATTGGAAGAACCCTGTTAGAGTTGCTAGGCGTAAATATTGACTTAACGGCTCTTTCGTCTTTTTTCTTTTTTAAGAACAGATTTGTTGGCCATGGCTGGAAAAATAAAATGATCGAGTGTGCATGATTCACTCTGGCACTCACACAAACATGCAGATCAGTTGGCTGGCAGCTAGCTCCTCTGTTAGCAGAACATCGCTTCTAAAATGTGTCATTTTGCTTTGGCAGCAACAGCGTGCAAGCCCACAGACAGAAACAATCCAAAAGGCAAAGTCTTCTACCTTCCATAGGTATTTCACGTGGGTGCCACTGACGTTCCCCGATACAGAATATTTGCTTAATACTTCCAATAGCTTTTCGTTGGCATCTGAGACACACAGAATGACTGACAGGATGCTGTAATGTTTTTGTACTAGAAGTCTAGCCCAGAAGCTTCCCTTTGTAGGAAGACTCCTGGGTCTGCAGACATGAGAAAGGACTGCAAAACAAACTGCACGTAGAGCATTTTATGTAAAGGTCTCCAGCTGTTTCACAGACAATAAATACTAAGCTGCAATAACTACAACTGGGGAAATTAACAAACAGGATACTTTAGGTCACACCTTAGGTTTTCGTCATTGGATTCGTGCTTTCACCACCAGGTTCAATTTCCTATAGTACCCTAGGCGCAGACTTTTAATTCTAAATTTAAAAAATGTTATTTAAAATACTACTTCAACACATAGCATCATCCAAACCCTTCTCTATAGTCATTCTGCCAGATCTGGATAATTTGAAAGTACTGACATGGGGACAAACCTCCTCCAGACTAGCTTGAGGGTGCTAGTACATGTGTGATACTTGTGTGCATCAGTTCTGGACACGGTCAGCACAATCTCTGACTACCACTAAAAACCTGCTCACCACACACAGAGGTACAAGCAGCTCACAGGATAGCTGGCAAAGGCAGCGGTGAGTATATTTGTGACTCCCCCCCTGATAGACAACCAAGGGAACTCAAGAACAGTTGCATTTCACAGCACTCACCAGATATCTTGCCAGAAAGTAAACACCTCATCAGGAGAAAGATCAAAATCTCATGACTGCATGTAGGAGGGAAAAGGCCAGTATCAGAGGAGAACCTTCTCTGAAGAGGACACAAGGAGTTTGCTTCTATTTCAGATGGACAGAGTGTTTTTGGAGACTTTTACCCCTATGGTTTTAAGCACCCGCCAAAGGTATAATGCAAGAACGGATAGGAAGACCAGGATCAACCGATATGCATATCTATATTTGTTCTGTATCCATCCTCTATTGCTCTGTGCACTCCTCTCACGGAACAGGGACGAATTCTTGCTGCCAGGCATCCTTTACACGTATCCTCTTCAAAACTGCCTGGTTTGGTGTGTGGCTTGCTAAGGATGCCACTCTTCACAGTCACATAGGTCAGCCCAGGGCTGTGGCATCCTACTCAGTCATTAGACCCACACTAGCCATCCCCACTCAGCATTAAGCTACCAGAAACAAAAGCAGGACGCTCGGATACTTTGGAGCTTAGCAACAGCTACTCAGGATCCACTCCCTCTCTTTCACATCTACCTCTACTAATAACTCTTAACGTAGAAAATTTATTGAACAGAGAGACAGGTTGGTTGATATCCCCTCTCCTCAACTGTAGGCAGATCCAGAAATATTGTTATTTTGTAAGTGTTTCCTTAGCGACACATAAAAATTTAATGCTGTGACTGCTAGCAAAGATTTTTGAGAATAAATACAAAGACAACTGAAGTTTGTATTAGCCACAGCTATGTAGGAGACATCGGGAGATAAACATGGAAAAATATCTCTTAAGGTCCTAACATGCATCAGGCAAGAGACCAAACAGACCTAATTGTACAAAAAATAAGGAATTTTCCACCCACTCACTCTTTTACCCTTACTGTTTAAACAGCACAGACAGGGTGCTGCCTCCTGTTTTCTCAGTAAATTGTTTGCAGAGAACAGAAATTCTTCACAATATAGAAGCAACAAATGACCTAAAGGATTTCTCTGCTCTCCTATCCTAGGGTCAAGGTTTATGCACGGCAATCCTTACTGCATGCAAACTTGCCACTCCTCTGAGAGTATCTGGGGACGGTTCCATACAGACAAAGACTGTTTCAGATTGCCAGTTACTGGCTGTTACTGCCTGGTTATGGATACAGCAACGGCTGAGCTTTACAACAGGTTTTCAGCAACACTACACAGCAAGCCACATACTGCTTAAATGCACGTAACAGCCTTTCTTAAAATGCTTTTCTTTCTCTCAACCTTCTACTGACCTCCTGTGATGCAGCTTTATCCCGCTCTTCTGCCCAAATGATGTTTGTCTGAGATTCATCATTGGGTTTACATTATTCTGACCTGATACAGGTCCTGAAAAGGCTCCTGGAATAATAACCCTGACTTTGCTCCCCTCAAAGCCAGTGACCTAGCTGCAGATATTATTAGTGGATAAGGTCATCTGACTGTGTTAATAAAAAAGAATAATGGAGGAGTTCTCAAACCATTTTCAGCATTAGTTAAACTCAGGTGATCTGTCTGTCTGTGATGGGCTGCACAACCTGTCAGTCACAGTTGTCAGTCAAGGTTCCTGTAGATGAAGGAATCTAATCAAAGCGAAGAAGAAGAAACGAAGGTTTGATACTTACTTTCTCAGGACTGCAATTTCATTCTCGATGCTGCTTTCCTTTCCCTTCAGTGCCTTCTTGGGAATGCACTTGACTGCAAATAGTTTCCCACTAGCCCTCTCTTCAGCCAAAACAACTTCAGAAAATGCACCCCTGAAGGAAGAAAAGAAAAATCCTGGTTGTAAGTGGTGTCGTTTCTGCGGGAGGCTGTTAACTGCAATGTTACCACTGCACCACTGCATCTAGTTCTTCTGGGGTTTTTTGATAGCTGTTATTGTTAATGACAGCAATGGCACTTTTGGCATCTTTCACTGCCTTAAAAACACATGCACACATCCACACTCATACCAAATATTAAAGGCTTACTAAATACAACAATTTTAATAAAGAACCATAGGCTAGCAGAGATATGAACAAAGGCTGAAAACCAGAAAGTCCTGTTTTTGGCTCTGCTGCTAATTTGATGTATGATTCCATCAGGAGCACTTTTCCCCTTTCTGCAGTTTTGGCAGGCTTAATTCACGCAGTACCACAAAGTCCTTGGTGTTCTTCAGGACTAAATTACCCAACTAGTGCCAAGAGCACTCTCGGCTCCTCAGCAACCACAAGAGGTCAGGGCCTCCACTGTTGTCCTCTCCGTAGTCTCCACCAGAGCATCGGCTCAACGCTCACTCGCCCGTCACTCAGACGGGGAAGCCGCTTCAGAATGTTTCTACGTACAATGAATTCTTCCACAAAACAAACTGCCGTGTGTAATCACGAAAGCCCAAGAATAGGATTAAAATGCAAGTCCAAACATCTGCCTTCATAGCAGCCTCCCCACAGTTACCCCAGAGAGAAGAACACAAATAAAGGCTATAGAAGCCTCATCAGAGAAGCCAGGCACTAATTGCCAGGAGTGGCCAGTGCCTCCCCTTCGTTAGGCTATTCCATAACAGTCCATTATTTCTTGCACTCTCATATCTTCCTCAGAAGCACCGGGATCTGACTGGGAAGAGGCCAGGAAAACATTACCGGCAGTACCACGTAGGCTCTTTTGTACCCACATGCTTTCCTCAGCATTTGCTTTCGGTCATTCAGCCAAGCTCCTGGCCTGGACAGAGCTTTGCTCTGATGCACGGGGGCCGCTCTCCTGTTCCTCCGCTCATTACTGGAGTCAGTAACGAGGAACTAGACAAGACAGAGTGTTGGCCTGATTAAGAAAAGCAAATCGCTCTGCTCCTTTTCACCAAAAACAACTCCCGAAGCACCTGCTTTCTCCCATAAACATCACAGCCCAGCGCTCGTCCACCAGGCTCACAGCTCAAAGTCCACCAGCCAAAGGGTCATATTTTATTTATATGAAACATAAAAGGAACCAGAACATTCTCCTCCTTTTTTTTCCCCCTTCCACCAGAACATTATTCTGCTCTTCTGCATAGCTCTCTGTGAAAAGACAGCTCAGGAGCAGGTTGAGCGAACCACAACCATGCTCCAGCCACTCTTCCCATGTTAATATTTAATCACAACCTCATTAAGCTACCGTGAACTTTCTCTGCCTTTCATTCCTCATGACCACTGCTTATCTAGATGCTCGGGGATAAACAGCAGCTCTTTCCTCGCACGACCAGGCTCTTCCTTTCCAATCCTGCCGTCGGGATGACACAAGTGGGTGCCTCTGACCTCATGCTTGGTTCCTGAGTTGTGAAACAACCGAATGAATCATTAAGCTGAAGGATAAACGAATCAGGCAAAGGAAGAGGATGCTGCTTAGGAAAGAAATAGCTTCTGTTTACACAGAAATACTCTCGTAGTTAGCAGTGATAGGGAAGCAACGGCAGGAAGTTAGGAACAGATTAAAAGAGACTGTCGCAAAGCGTTGCTGTGTGTGGTCTGACAGTTTGTCTACACACAAAAGTAACCCTTCAAACAAAGAATAAGAAATTAGGCCATGTTTTGCCTGGCTTTGGAGAGAGAGGACAGTGGTCCAGGCTCTGACTGCATTTATACCACTTTAAATACAGGGACAATTCACTGTTTTTGGCTCTGTGCCTTGTGTAAAATCCACCACAGCTTGTCAGAGCACCACAGACTCCAATCCAGAGTCCATACAATTGGTCCTAATGGCTCGAGCAGTAAAAAATAAAATAAAATCAAGCAATCCAATGTGTTTTTAAAGACCTACTCTTTGCTCTCCTATTATCACACGGTCCTAGTTATTTGGTTCTCCAAACGGCATTTTCATCCTGACCCTTATGCTTGGGATTGCCAGTCTGGAATTGCAATAAAATCCTTTTATTGGACAGTCCTAAGACTCCTCAGTGCTTAGCCGCTTCAGTTGCAGAGCAGGGTGCTCAGAAACTCCTATGACTGCTTCCACCTATATTTCATGAACCTCTTAAGTCCCATCTGCTTCAGCTTTCAACACTGCACTTCACTCCAGCTGTGCCTTGAACAATCTTTTTGCCTTTAGTTAAAGGCTGTTAAAAGCAGCATAATCGTACTGGTCGTTTACTGATCACACAGCTCCCTCAATGTTTATGATACTATAAAAACACGGAAAGCTTCCATTCTGATCTGGATTTCATTGCCGTTCTAAGACAACAAAATAAATGAAATCCTTTTATACCCTCCTGTAGAATAAACCCAGCTGTGGGAAACGCCTCTATTTCAGCTGACTTCACAATTTTACTGGATTTCGTTCTCCATTTACTAGGGCAGCCACGGGCTTCAATGGTTGTAATCAGCCCCTGTGAATTTAACGTGCCCGAAATGGACTTGTTTTACAGTTACCTGCTAGACTCAGAGGTCTAGTCATAAAAATTAATCATCTGGCATCTCCTTAACAGCCTTTCTCATCAAAGCACCAAACGAGATGAACCTCAGTTAACGCACTCGCTCACATGTCAACCCTGGGCCCTGATAAGGCGCTTTTCTTCCCTCTGAGTTTTGTACGAGGCCGCATCGTGAAATCGCTGGTGCTGGGAAGCGCCCCCAGGCAACAGGTACGGGTGATGGGAAACGCCGGGTGCATCTGCCGGGAAGGGAGGAGGGGATGCTAAGCTGTCCGCGGCTGTCGTGCTGCACAGCTCCTCTATTTGCAGAGCAATGAAAAAAGCAACGAGGTAAGGGACCAAAGAAAGACAAGAGAAGCACTGGAAGGAAAGAGAGTGGAGGAAACAGATGCAGATAGGGATCAAGAAGTTCAGCACACAGACTGAGAGGACAGTATGGGACAAGAAGAAAGAAATGCTCCTAGAGAGAGCAAAAAGCCAAAAGACAGCAAAGACACTGCTGCTAGAGTGAAGGGGCAGCCAGAAACTGCAATTTATAGATGGACGAGTCATTATCCTAATTTCAAACACACACAGCTAAATTCATCCGCCCTTAATGATCCAGCCTAGCTCCCACTGAACCCCTCTTGACTTCTTCATGAATAGATAAATAATCAAGAGAGACAGAAAGGCGAGGCTGCTCGTTTTCTTGCTAACAGTCACATATCCCACAGCAAATTCTCCACCTCCTCAAAAAAGGTCCCCAGAACTACTGAACTGGCAGGCTTGCTAAAGAAGATTTTTCCCCGCAATGAATTAATGTGCCCTTTAAAATCAAGGTATTAGTGAATTTCCTAAAATTCCTTATTGAAGGTTAAAAATCAGTAAGTCCGTGTACTAAGCTCTATGAAATTGTTTCATTTTAGAAAATGTTGTACTCTACACCATCAAAACAACAGAAATTTTTGTCAAAAGGGCATGGCTTTTATTCAGCCTCATCCAGTAATTTTACATGATAAAAGAAAGAAATGTGGTGCACGATACGTTTGACAACCAGAAGGCAACGTACACCCGTAACTCTGAAAGGACTCTTGATCAACACCCCCTCCCTCCTAGCAGGTACCATACGGTTGTTATAATGACAATGTCCTCAAGACCTGCCAATTTTATCCCATATGCCAGTAGCTCCATAGCCACAACCCTCAGCCAGAAAGAGATTCAGAAGCCTCTTGGTGAGTCTTTTCCTTACGGCAGTCCATTTCCCTTGAGGATTTTCCCATCCAAATGGTCCATGAATCCCAATGAAAAATGGGAGCCCGTGTGCGCTGCAGTGTTTGCCACCCACTTAGCAGAGAGCAAGAGAAGGAAGGGAGAGGGGTGGTTAGTTCCTCCCCAGTTCTGGTTCAGTGCACTGAGGCTCTGATTTAGCAAGTCACTTATAGACATGGTTAAATCCATCAGTGCTCACCAAAGCGCTTCAACATTTGCTCCACTTTGAATATTTGCTTAAATACCATCGGAGTTCATATGATTTCAGCACGCCTAAATGAAGCACATGCTTAAAGGTTTGCGGTGTTAGGACCTGGCACACTAAAAGTTCTTTCACAGTCTGGTGTTTTTAACATTGAAGCAGGTGTGCAACTTTTGCATGTGAGTAAAACCAAGGAAGTCAGTGAAACAATGCATTGAAATGTCTATTCAAATGCATATTGAAATGTTTATACAATGAGGATCTTGGGAATCCCAAAGGTTTGTACAGTGAGATTATGCCAGCTTTACAAAACTGATAAAGAAGCCCAAAGCCCATCAAAAGGAACTGCATGAGTATAGAGCAGAGATTTTTATCTCAAATTCCATGTAAATAAAAACGCAGTTTCTGTGAAGGATACTAGCAAACAGAGATGACTTATATCATGTGAAATACTGAGGAAGAGGGAAGGTGTTTACGCTCTGAAAATATCTGGGGGAGTTTTATTCTCCTCTCCCCAAAAATATAGTCCAAAAATTATTTTCACACTTGTGGACCAAGATTTGTAAAAATATGGAGAAGTGAATCCACCAAAAGTCATGTTTTTAAAGGACTCTGTGTGGCTGGGATCTCCCATTTTCTTCAGCAGGGAAATAGCTCACAGCAACCTTTCAGCACACCTGGTGACCCAACCGCCTCAGCCTCTTTGAAAGGTGCCTTTCAAACTCCTCAAGGAGCTTTGCTGATCCTATCTGGTATCTACAGTTAATGTATAAAAAAAGGAACGTGATTTTGAGAAATTAGGACAGTGGTTGAAACTCCTAAGCCAGAAACTTCTGTAAAATTAAACCACCTCACTGGATGCCTAAGTAGGAGTTTAGCAATTGAACCTATTTTTGAAAGCTGTGACCATGTTATTTTTCACCCTAGAGGATCAGTTCTTTTCAAACTTCTAATTAAGCCATGGAATAATTTTATGATCTAGATCCATTTTGATATGAATTATAAAATGGTATAAAAGAAAAAAGAGAGATTAAATGACTTGACTGGTGACACTGAGATACTGGCAAACTCAAGAAGATGGTTGAGAAGTTCTGACTCCTTACTCCTCTGCACGCTCCAGGTCCATGCAGCATCCAACAAGAGGTTAATCTTTTACAGTTTTAATTTGTTTGAATTACTTCTCATCCATTTTCTTTAATCTAGATTTACAAATCAGGATTTCAAGATTATTATTGGATTACATTGCATTCATGTCCAAACAGACTGGATTTTCTATTACAAAACAAAGCTACAAGGCTCGGCTATGCAGCAGATCAAAGTAAAATCAAGGACAAACAATATTTTTCTTCATCTGTTTGAGCTATAATTTAATATGAACACTTAATTTCTGAAATACAATGAACAATATATACTGTGACAGAGCAAATCTGTTCTCATATATCAAAAAATGTTGCTGTCACAAAAATGGAGACAAAATGAAGACAAAGAGTTGACGGCAGGATAAAACTTAATTTTTTCATTTATAGAGACCTCCATGTTGAAGAGTTTTCCACTGCATTAGCAGATGCTCTGTCACACTAAATCAACAGACATAGTCAGGAAGCAGATTTCACATCTTTGGGCTGTCCCTGGCTAACAATCTTAATTATAACACAGTTGGCATTCTGCGTGTCCTTTGCCCCGGCCAAACTATGGGAAAAATGAGCGAACACTCATTTTTTGAAAAGGATACCACATTCACTGTGAGGAACACCCTGAGATGCGAGATCAACCAAATTCAAGTGAGACCAGCTGACTCCAAGCAGGCCACAAGGGAGAGCCCAGTGCTGCTGAGCATTCTTCTACTAAGCCGTTTTTCTACACAAGTAATTTTCTACTTTCTTTATTTCATGTTCTACTGTAATTTTTCTATACAGGTCCTCATTCTCTTAAATTCCAGGCCCTTCCCAACATAAATCTCAACCCAGAATAAAGGCTGGAAATAAAAGTTTTTTTCTCTCCAAGGTCATACCCAAGAATGTCCTGAAGTCTGTGTGAAAATGAACTTACGATGAAAAATTCAAATCCAAAATTTTCAAAAACTCAGGGATGCAAAGGTATAAAACCAAATGCAAAGGTATAAACCAATGCAAAGGCATAAAACCAAAGCATGGAGGGTGTTTTTATCCAAGAACATGGGAGGAGACTTTCAGGACTGTGACGTATTGCACAAAAGTCAAATATTCCTACACGTTCCTAAGAGGTCAGTATAAACAAAAGGGAAAAGAAACACACTCCTTGGTCTATTTTGCAGTTCTTTGGAGAATAAATGTTTTTTTTCCTAGCTATTCTCATTCATGAAACATACAGTCAAGCCACAAGTCTGATCCCAACGCTTGGCCCCCGCAGTGCCCTAACCCAGATCTAGCCCAAATGAAGACCCACTTTTCCTCACCCAGCTGTTGTTACACCTTCCAGACAATGATGGACACTTCCAAGTTTGCTTCAAATGCTGATGCCACTCCCCTGATGGACACATGAATAATACAGGCAAGGGGCAAAAATCTTCACCGCACTTTCCCGCAGTGAGGAGCTCTTCTCTGCACCGACACTGCTCTCTGCGCACCCTGAGCCACTGCCCCACGCCAACGCCTGCAGCATTTTGTCTGAGCGAAAAGGTACTTTAAGGTCTTGGGATTATACATTTCTCTCCTGATGACAAGGTTGCTCACCCACAACTCAATAGCACAAGAACGGGCAGCGTGTCTGCCAGCTACAGACATTGCCTGTCTTACTACCTTGCTGCTCCCACCATCATAGAGATTTTGGGGGGAGAAATCACACTGACTATGGAGATCTCTGCAGGGACTCACAACTGCTACCGAAACAGAGACACGTGGTATCATGTTCCAGGTAAACGCTTATTTCCTCTGCTCACAAAACCAGGTTGGTTTTCTCCCACCATTACAGGGAACTTCACGATCAGAGACAACTCACTGCCGTGGAAGGAGCAGCACAAAACTTTCGTCTTGCATAGTCACCAAAACCATTTGGATTTGTTTGGATTTCACTTTCATTTTTGTTGTATTATTGTCTACAATTACAACAACAACTAGTGTTTTGACAGTTTTTGTCACCAGAGTCAGCTGTAAGAATTTTAATACCAGTTTGGGGATTACCATTTCTTCCTGTCTTAGTTCCTCGCTACTTGATGTTCTCAGCCAAAACACTAAACTAGAACTAGAGACTGAAAAGCCGTGTCAGCTGCTTAGAGGAGAGAGACTTTCGTGAAGCCAGCAAACATCAATTCAAGGTTGCATGCAGTAAAAGAAAAAGCACTCAAGGCTTCCTTCATGCCCTTACCTCCACCCCGAACCACTTCCCACAGAGCACAATCACCTCCTCAATGGTCAACAATCATTTTCACACAAGGGAAAATTGTTCGAAACAGTGTGGGAAGATTGCTTTTCCACCAGCCATCACACTGAGCAGCAGATCTAGCTCTGCTGCTCACAGATAAATAAATCCCCAGTTTACATAACCCAGTTGGGCAGAAATTAAATTAATGACTTGACAGTTCAGACACATGCCTCATGGCCCGATGCTTAGTGAACTGCTACCAGAGCAAGCAGAGACACCCTCCTTTTAATGTGGGAAATAATTGCCAAAATGATGAGCCCTAGAATCCAAGTTGTTAGTTGGCGATGATTCAGGGGAAGTAGAGAAGGAATTGCAATGTGCTGATCTCAGCAAAAGCTCCTGGAGAGACTCCTGGATGACCAGGGAGAGGGGAGTAATGGGACAGCTGAGGAAGGGGAAGATGTGTTGCCAGAGCAGTGGTAGAGCTGTTCAGATGAAGCCCCACCACCTCCAGGAGAAGGGCCTAGTGGCTCAGTGAGGCCAGCTGAGTGCGCTCGCCACCCTGGCGTGCTGAGACAGGCGGGACCTGGCTCACAGCCACAACCCCGGCATGAACACAACCATGCAGATGAGCAACCCTCCAGTGTGTGGAGCACTTCTGCTCCTAGGGGACTGCCCATGTCAGCATGGTGAAGACAGTGAAGCACGTGGCCAAGGTGACTCCCGGGCCAGAAAAGCCATTACGTGCAGATCAGAGCAAGGCTTTGCAGGCAGCAGACAGACAGCTTTCGGTGCCCTAAGATTTAGGATCAAAGGTAAATAAGCCACATGAAGCACCCCGAAATTAACCTAAAAAGAAGTCTCCTCAGAATCTCTTCCCTTTCTGAAAGCAACTAATTTCTTTTAGCTGCCTGTTGTATGCTAATTTAATAGGATGCTAAGCAGTCTGCTGTGACACAGTGATGCGTGGATGCTAAAAAAGGAAGCTGGCCCAGCACAGATCCCCAGTCATGCTTGTTATTATAGCCCTCTTCTTTCCTGAACTGTTTGCCCCTTTCTGATTAATCGTGACCCCTATTAGAAAGGCAAGTGTTGTCTTAAAAGGCCTATTACATCTACATTACATCCTCTACAGCAATCGCAGTAAAGCTATCCAGAACAAAAGCAAAATGTACAGCTTTCAGTATTGAGCTCTTCCTTCCATTATACTCCTCACAAATGAGCTGTTAAGAGGTTTATTTTCTCCACTGATGATCACTTTCTTTCCAAAGTGAATATTTAAGTACTTTTTTTTCCCACTTTCATCTTATAAGACAAAAGGAGCTCACTGTCTCCTACAGCTTATCTGATGGCAGTATTCTCATAGGGAAATAACCTTTCT